TAAATAATATTTTTAGGTACTATAGGTCTTTAATTATTATTTTAATAATATATATAAATATATATTTCTTATATATTAGTTATATCTATATATTCTTATATAGTTTAAATATATTATTTTTATATTAAGTTTTAATATTAATTATTATATTTATTATAGAATTATAAGTAATATTCTTCCTTTTATAAATTATTATTTATCTTAGGACTTTATTAATTATAAATCTAAGTTATAATAAGTTATTATTAAGCTTTTATTTTAATATTATAATTAAGATCTTTATTATATTACTTAATTTAAAATATTATTATAAGAGTTTTAATATTAAGGTCCTTATTAGGCTTATTAGCTAATTCTAAGAATAATTTTTATCTTAATTTATCTATAAGATATAATTATTTTATTTTAAGTAATTTCTTTATAATATATTATAGTTTTAGCTAAAGGTAATTATTATATTTAAATTATTTATTAATAAAATATATTTAATTATATAATATAATAATTTTCCCTAGTTTTAAACTAATATTATTATATCTAATTTATATTATACTAAGGGTCTTTATAATATAGATAGTTATTTATAATTTATTATTAGCTTATATAAACCTTATTTACTTTTTATCTTCTAAGAGCTATTATTATTATTTAGGCTTATAATATCTCTCTTAGGTATCTTATTATTTTTTTCTATATTTATTAGCCTTATAGCCCTTCTTATAATAATAATAATATTTAATATTTATAATTCCTTATTAAGTAATCTCAAGTTATATAGGTCTTAATTAGGTTTTATAAGAGGTATTAATTTATAGGTATCCCTAGTTAATATTAAATTATAGCCTTTAATAATTCCCTTTATTATTATAAGGGTTTTAGAGTTTCTTCTATAAGTATTATTAATTATTAATTTTAATTCTATAATTAATATATTTAATATAGTTATTAAGGTTATCTTCCTTATAGAGTTTAGCCTATATTTTTTTCTTAAGTTTATTAAAGAAAAGTAATATAAGGGGTTATTAATCTTATTTAAGCTTTAAAGTAAATTAAAAGTACTTAGTATTATATTCTAATATAAATTATATTTATTTTAATACTTTAAATTTTTATTTATTTATATTTATTTATTAATAATTCTAAAGGCCTATTAAAAGGCTACTTTAAATTTCTTATAGCTAATATAGATATCTTAAGTATAAGATAAGTATTAAATAGCTAAGATATTAAGATATTCTCTTATAATAAATTTAAATTATATAATAATATATTTAATAAGTTACCTTATAATATATTAGATATAGCTAGATTCTAGGTTAAATTAGGTTAAGTAATATATTATATAAGTATATAATTATATAAGAAAAGGAAATAATTTATATATAATATTATTAAATTTCTCTAATAATTCTAACTTTAAGATTTCTCTAATATCCTTACCCTTTATAGCTATAATAATTATATTACTAATATATTAGATCTTTTCTTTATATTACTTATTTTAATTCTATTAAGTAATAGCTATATAATTAAAGACTCCTTAAATCTTATTTAGTTTAATAATTAAGGTAATAATCTAAGCTTAGAGCTATTTAATTTCTTTATTATTATTATTTATTTCCTTATTATTATTAAGATTAACCTAAGTTAATATAATAAAAATAAATAAATAATTAATAAATAAGACTTATTAATAATTATTATTAAAAGGAGCCTAAGTAGCTATTATATTTAATATTATTTAAAGTAATATAAATAATTTAATAAATAAGAGCTATTAATATATAATAAAAGGATATTTCCTAAGGGATAAAGTAATTATATTAATTTATATTAATATTAAATTAAGTTATATAGCCTTAAAGGGTAATATAATATTATATCTAGTAATATACTTAAGGTATTAAATATAACTAAGTTATATTAATAACTAAGGTAGCTAATATATAAGAAAATCTAATAAATATATTCTATATATTAGCTTAGTCTTAAAGTTAAATATAATTAAGTCGAGCCGAGTTATTAGCATTTAATTTATATAGTCGAGGGAAGTCAAATTATCTTTATTTAACTTATATGCTTTCTATCCCGTGATTAGCTAGCAAGGTAGGGTTGGTTTTCTTGCCCGGCGCTACCGCCTTCGACCATGTCATGGCCGTGACAGCACGTGGCCGGGTATCCGATCGCGTCCGGGGTGTTATCGAAGATCATGGACCCGTCCTTCAACTCGAACATGCCCGCGTCCCCGCTGATGTTCGTCAACATGTCCATGCACAGGGACGTGGTGTCGCCCGGGTTGCACATCGTGATCGTCTTCTTGCCCTTCATCGAGCACCTCCTGCGGTACGTGTACTAGATCTTGCGCATGGTCGTGATGATGTTGATGGTCAGATCGCGGTTGTTGTACCTCCTGACGTTCGCGGCGCATGCTGCTGAGACACAAGACCCCGACGATCATCATGAACGTGGCCAGGAGAAGCAACGCAAACAGGGGCCCGACGTGCCGCTTGAGCAAGGACTCGGAGAGGGCCGACTTGGTCTACACGAGGCTGGCCCTGGACGAGCCCCCGAAGCCGTTGATCTGCAAGTGCAAGTCAGCGTACGAGTCCCTGACCATGGTCGCGAACAAGGTGTCGGAGGCTTTGATGAGCGCGAGCATCGACGTCACTGACCTGATCTCGCACAAGGGCACCAACGTGTATAAGTCCGCCGGCATGAAGGTGTACGTCTTCTGCTACACCAGCGGGTACATAATCACGCAGACAGACCTCAACCTGGGGGTGATCCACTACTCAGTGGCGTTGATCGAGGGGCCGATCTATGAGCTCACAGACATGCCCGACCTCCTGGTCCCGGAGCTGATGAGGAACGGGATGCTGGTCTACATCGACACCCTGGCCGTGGACGGGATCGCGCTCCCGAAGCCGAGGGAGTGCATGCCGATGCCCGGGACCAGGAACGTTAGGCCGCCCATGATCATTAGGAGGTCGTGGAAGTCGGTCGAGCAGATGCCCCCGAACCCGTGCATGTCCATGGAGTCGGACGGGATCGTCTGCGTGACCAAGTCGAGGACCCTGCGCCTCAAGGTCCCCACGATCGACTTGCTGTACAGGAACGGGAGGGTGTACGCTAGCGAGACCGGGAAGCTCATCCCGATTGCGGAGGGGCATGAGTCCATGCCCAAGGACGTAATTTACGAGTTGACCGTGACCAGGGGCCGCGACCCGAACATCACCGTGTTGTCGAACCCGACCATGAGGCTAATGAAGAAGAGGCCCAACAACACGGACATCGTCAGGAGGGCGTTCACGAGCATCATCAGGGACTCCAGCGTGAGCACGATCCTAGACGACGTCGCAAGCATGTCGTTCAAGATGAGGAAGAGGACCTGCGAGATGGCGCAGACCCACGCGTCCATGGGCAGACACATGATCGTGTCATTCGGCGCGGGCAGGCTCGAGGAGATCAACGAGATGATGCTTGACAACTTCTCCTACATCGCGATCGACCCCAACATCGACATCAAGAGGTTGAAGAAGTCGAGGAACTTGAAGAGGTTGGTGCCATACGACGTGAACAGGAGCATGTCAAAGTAGATCATCGCGATCACGAAGAGGCCCGGGTGCGTGCTGTACTACGCGGGGAGGTCCGAGGACTTCCTCACGCAGGTGGACGTGATCATGACGATGAACACGCATAGGATCCCAGCCGTTTTTTCGTTCAGCATCTCGTACCATGTTATGGTTATCAACTCGCTTATGTTATCGAATGTGTCCGTGTATGGCTGCGGTTTCGTGCATGATAATATGCCCGTGAAGGGGGTCGGCTACTAGCCCGTGTCTATGAATATAATTAAGACCGTGGATAGGCCCGCGTACGTGAGGACCAAGTTCGGTGAGTCTGTGTATGAGGAGCCGACCTTGAGGATGGACCTATAGGGGATTGGCATTTATTATATGCCTTTGGAGCCTGGGTTCGGAATCACCATTCAGTAATACCACATAGCCCAGAGTGCTCTGCAAACTCCATTTGACAACGGTGATTGATGTCCAATGGTCACTCCCCAAATCACTGAGCCCGTGCCACCAGGCCACCCCGTCTAGTGGCGTTCCATTGCCAACTGAAGCTTCCCAGCTTTCCTAGAGAAGGACGAGAAGCAGCTCCCACCTCAAGAGTCACTTTTGGCAGCTCCTCGCATCGTCGTCAGCGCGTGTTCCCAATCTCATCTGAACCAGTTTCTCTCACAGCATCTCATCATCTGAGCAAGACCAACATGATTCAATGTGCCTTTGAATGTAGTCAAACTTCACATGGTCTTCGCCGGCCGCGACGACAGCTTCGTTCTAGAAGTGAGAGACAGGATGTCGACGGCGGTCCCGCTGGGCACAGACATGTTGCTAATGGCGCTCCATACACCGGCTATCTCATGGCGGCGATTCCAAGAATCTGGGGCGACAATGGAAGGGTGGAGGTCGACCATGTTGTCAATTCCCATCAAGACCATGACCATTATATAGGTCTACTTCAAACAATGGCCGTCAACTTTAAAAGGGCCAAGTTTCGCCTCACCGGCAGCCTTTTCACCCCACACTGGCCCAATGGCATTTCCTACGTCGAAATCGAGAACCAATTGACACAATCGGGACCGCCCAACCACCCGCCGACAACTGAGATCAGGTCTATCTGAACATTCCACAACTGGCCTTGAACGAATTCGTTCTGTCTTATCTCGCCTTTTGTGGCTCACGTTCCTCGCTGTCGTCGTGACACAGAAACATTGTCTATCCTACAGGGGCGCCCGAGAGGATTGCCAACATGCGAGTCTACTTTTGGCAAATGCTGCTTGCCACTTTCCAAGGGCCGGCCTTCTAGTAGAAGCTTTTACGAGATCGGCATCCTCAGTAGGTCTAGCAAATCGTGGACTCGCCAGACGATGCCCTAATACTGACCTTCATCCCCAATGCACGCGTGACTGCCATGCTGGACATGTTTGAGGCGTACATGTCTGCAGTATGGGACCAGCAGAACAACACGCTCACTCCTATTCAGATTATGAATCTATACCACATTGATGATTTAGAGTCTCTAGTTTAGACTAATGGGCAGTGGGACAAAGTTGACAGCGTTTGTACAATCGATACTTCGATCTTGTCTGTCGGTTTCAACCATGATAAAGAAGACATTTCCAACACATCATAACATCATATCCCAATGCTAACACATTGACAATGGATACTTCTACGAGACTACCAAGGACATATTCAGTTGAGTCAATCGCTATGTCAAAATAATTTTCATCATTCACAGCGGATTCGTACGTCGTCGGCGGCTCATCCACAGTCCACTGTCACCCTACCGCGGCGGTTGTCTCGCCATGTGCCTCCAAAACCGAGAGGCACACTTTACATGGCAGATGCAGGAATGGTGTCTGCGCGAGGAGCACGGGCAAATGCCCAAGGCGCAAATTCGCCTGACCTTTCGAGTGTAGCGGAAATGTGTTGCTCCCCGCGGCAGGAAAAAGCTGCACAACACGGAGGCAGGTGGTGAACAAGAGGGCCAATATAAGCTGCTGTGATTGACGATGCATATTTTCCGAGAATTCTGTCGTTACGCTTATGAAACGGACTTGGCACAAAGTTTGGAGGCTTTCTCATGAAATAACTGCACAAATCGACCCAGCGTCGTCGTTGTCATCGTCCTCGTCGTGGCGTGTTGGCCTGGGAAGAATTGTATTCTATCCGCCCGCCTCTCTGTCTGTCTATGGCTGCAACTCACTGCAATATTCTCATCCCAAAGTGTAGATTATCATGGTTTTTCAAGCCGAATCCCGCCTCCTGGCCAGCATGATCCTTTGGATTCATTTATAATATGATGCTAGACTGAATATATTGTCCAGCGACTAGAAACCACTTCGCCCTAGTCTCCTGAGTGCCGAATACCCGGCTTTCTCTGAACATATGTAGTCTATGAGCCGCCAAGTGCGGTACCTCGCTCACGCAAGAGATAATAGGCTCTTACGCCCCCTCAAATACCCTCGATTTTATAGAAAGAAGGGTAAGACCTAGGGCAATAATTTCTTATTAGCAGCAGTTTAAGGAAGATAAGAAACTTCCATAAGATATCATCATCACTATATTTGGTCTAATAATAATAGCTTCCTAGGCTAGAGTAATAGAAATAGACCCTATATAGTATCCTAAAGGTATGGCATAGCGGGATATGAGGAAAGGCTTAGGAATAAGCGACTAGATATAAGAATAGTATAACGCTAAACCTATATTAATCGCCGGGAATATCTTTTTAAACCAAACTCGCTACGCAAGGTAAGAGAAGAGTTTCTATCTAGTCGGTAGACCTAGCGTTATGAGAGAAGCATAGAGTGGTTTAATTAATAATTATGAAGGTAGTGGCTTTTAATGATATAAAGGGGGCTAAGGGCTTCATGATATGTGATTTCCCATAGGGGTCGCCTACCTTAAATAACTGGTTTTCCTTATAGTCATTTAATTGTTCACATATTAGTGCTAAATACCTGATTTTCGCTACCGCTTGTCATAAAATGGCATATGTCAACGAGCGTAGGGCGCTATCCTCGTGGAGGGGTTGCTGTTCGGAGAGGAATAAGCCCGTGGACTTCGTCCTTGCCTCTTGATCTCCCATCCTTGAGTGGCATAAATTTCAACCAGGAAATCCGGAAAAGCCAGGAAACACTGGGACTAAAGGTGAGAGATACAAACTAGATAAGCTCATGCCCAACAAGCAGGGAGGGCCGCGGGGAAGCCAGAGCTTCCTATCTACTCGCGACCGCACGCACCCTTCAAGGTGGTTCACACGACGCAGCCTACTGGGCCAAAATATCCTGGATATTCTCTATAGAGTAACCCGATGCTATGTGACATTAGCTTAGCCGGCATCTCCCTATTAATGGCCTATATCTAACGGGAGCCTTCGAATCCTTCCTCCCACCTGGCTTCGCTGGTATAGGAGACTAATGATTGGAAGTGACATAATCGCCTCGTGCTCTGTCAGATTTGTGAAGGGCTTTAGGGCTAAAACTTTACGCTCTTAAGCCTCGAGCACGGATGTAGGGATGATTGGTGGTGGCGGTGGTGGCTTTAAAAGGGGTGGAATTCTCTGAGACCTTTCACGCTGCTGATGCGTCTATCCCCCCCCCGCCTTGGCTCACTCTATCCTACTCTATCATATTCCTCCTGAGAACTCGCCAAAGCTTCTGAGCGCACAAAGCTAGGATGTCAAGCCCGCTCTTCACACAATCCTTTTTAGACAATGACGAACTGAAACTCTAATCTCAAAATCGCTCAGCGAAGAAGAGAAGAAGATAAAGGCAAAGAATCCGTCAAAGTCTCGAGTCAGTTTCTGGGGATGTTACTGGACAAGGCTCAACCTCCGTTGCCACTTCCAAGGTCGTCCATAAAGGCCCAACAGAGCCAGGCCATGAACCGACAACGCCAACAAGAGTCGTTCCTTGCACCACTTCCTCCTCGGCAAGGTCTGAATGCGAATAGTGGCACGAATTCAAATGCAATAAATCACCAGACACTATCGTTATGAACATAAGGATAAGTTACAGCCTCATCTTTTAGCGAACAATGAAGAAGCAATACTTCAAACGTCTTCTAGATACCCGACGAGCATGCGACCGATACGCTGACAGCCAGATGAAGGACCAGTTTTTATATGAAGATACAGCTAGGCCCAACGAGCGAGGTGGGGTTCGAAGGGAGTGGCTGGGCTGTGACTGGCATGAACGTGGTGCTCATGACCAGATATGAACTCAGCAATATATTCTTAGATATGAAATAGGCTCTTCTCATGCGCGATCAGTCGAAAATGATATGACCCGACATAAGCCGTACTGGATATGAGGGAGACTCTAAAGCAGTTTCCGCCAGGAGGATGTCCCAAGACGTAGTGCGTGCTTATGTTCACGACCTGGGGAAGGCAACGTCAGTGAACTGAGCTACTTCGAACATGACTTTGGGGCGTCTCTAACGCTTCCCCCTTGTATACCTGGCTCTGCTTCATCACCCCTTCGTTGATAAGGCTGGGTTGTTGAGTTTGGCCCGAGCAGTGAAAGACTGCTCAAACGTAAGTAGTTAGTAGTATTCTGCGCAAGTTAGGAAGGGGTCCCACCGATTTTGAGACTGGGACCATTATGCTTACCATTTCTTTTCGAAACCTCTTGATCCTACTCTACGGTAGAGCCTGCCTCCTTAGACGGGGCGGGACAACGAAATAGGGAGGGGGCGAGCAATGCATTCAGCGACCAGCTTTCAATGTATGACGAGATAGGAACTGCGAACCAAATGTGGTAGGAAAACGCCCAAGAAAGAAGGACCACATAGAGACAATCCAAGGTGACTGAAATTGGACACTCAAAGGGGCCAGCTTCCGACAGGCCAAGAGCCGCTTCTATCCACTAGAAGCCACCTATCATAGCCAATTTCAGCCGTATTAATGAAGCCCAGTATCCTTTATGAGTCCTCATTGCATAGTGAAACAAGAAGAAAGCATGGAAGATGCTGACCGTCACGCTTTGGATTATTGGACAAGCCCTTGGAGATGCGTAATATCC